AACAACTTGAACAACTTGCTATTCACCTTTCCACTTTCTTGGATTGCAGAAGTTTCGTCAAACAACTTTCCGTAACAGAATTCAATAAAATTCATCTTGTACCTAGGGTCCAAAACACATGCTATGGCCAACACCATACTATATTGGGACCAATACTTGTTGAATTTATTGAACATCTTTGTAGCCATCTCCTTAATATAATCATCATCACTTTGCAAAGCATTGTGTAATGTCAAGTGTGCTTTAAATACCAAGGGAAAATACAGATTAGCCGTTGCATACTTAGTGCCAGAGAATATACAAGTAATTTCATAAAAAACCTGAAGAAACTTGTTGATCTTTTCAATCCTTTCCCATTCTTCTATAGATGGACAATGCTTATAGTTAGAATCAGTTAATCTAAGATGCGCAAAAGCACGTTTATAATACAAAGCACTGTTAAGCATGATAAATGTTGAATTCCACCTAGTAGGAACATCTTGCCTCAAACCCTTCTTAGACAAAATTGAACTTTGAGTGACACATTCAAAAAAATTTTCTTTCCTACCTTGTGAACCCCTCACATATTTAATACTTTCCCTCACTTTTAGAATTGAAGTGTCAACCTCTTTTAAACCATCTTGAACAATCAAATTTAGAACATGAGCACAACAACGCAGATGGAAAAATTTTCCAGCACACAAAAGTCCATCATTAAGCCTTAATTGACTACTCAAGAACTCAACACATGAATCATTTGCAGATACATTGTCCAATGTCATTGAAAATATCTTCTTTTCTAAGCCCCATTCTATCAAAAAAGTGTGTATTTTTTCAGCCAAGGAAATTCCATTATGAGGAGGAGGCATATGACTAAAATTCAAAACTCTTTTCTGGATTTGCCAACCACGATCCACAAAATGTGCCGTTAAACAAATAAAACCATCCGTGTTTATAGAAGTCCACAGGTCAGAAGTTAAACTTACCCTACTTGAGTTTCCCCTCAACAAAGCATGCAATCTTTCTTTCTCTTTCTTATACATTTTCATACAGTCAGCCCTCACAGTGTTCCTAGTGATTAGATTTAAATCTCCTCGCAAGAACAAAAGTAAATTCTTAATTCCTGGCAGTTCAGCAAACTGAAATGGAAAGTCATGCATAATAATTGCTTGAACCAACAACTCTCTGAATCTATCATAATCAAATCTAGGACAAACAGATATAGAGTTACTAGAAGTAGAAAGCATGCACTGTCCAATATCTCTGCTATCCCTTTTAACACACTTATCTATATGCCTTCTCATGTTACCAGTTCCATAGCTAGGGTCTGATATATATGTCGTTCCACAATGTTTGCACTTGCAGTGGTCTTTCTCACCATCTGTGGTTGCTGGAATATGATCAAAATGGTTCCATACTTGTGATGTGAACTTCTTCCTTTTCTTTGCTGGACCTGCAACATCTAAATCATCAAGACCGTCAAGTCCCTCATCTAATAGAGTGTTAAGCTCAGACTCACCAACATCCAGCTCTTCCTCTCCCTCTTCCATTTTGTTAAAACTAGTTCTGCAAAAAAAAAAAAAAAAAAACATGCATACTAAAGCATGAACTAGCATGAAACATGCTATATGATTAATTGGAAAATCCCAGTTTATCATGGATGAAACACAGCAAATCAACACTACGAAAAAGACATACATACACAATTGAGTGAAACTGGTGAAGGATCTAACTAAAGCATAATATTAAACGACCTCAAATAACCAGTATAAGAAATAAAATTAATGGATGAGGAGGAACATACTGTAGGTAGAGGTATCAATCTGTTCAGGAAGTTGCTTTATATCCGCCTCAAACCTGGACTAAACCTGGAATACACAACAAACAAAATTAGTAATGCCAATTCACCCAGCATTGTTATTATGAATACCAATGGCAGCAAGAGAAAATTCCAACATGGTTCAATACACAATTGCCAAAGACAGAAGCACAACAGATGTAAGACAAAATGGTTCAATTCAATTAAATGGTTAAAGCATGAATACAATTGCAGTGAAACAAAAATTGCAGTTTCAACAAGGCAAATATAAGGTATGAGGATAAGCAAATATCAAGAAACTAGTTCAGTTTACATCAAGAAACTACAACGAGAGATATCAAAAAATAAAAAGACTTCATTTGATGTCAGTATTCCCATTGACATTCAACAAATCGTTGGGAGACTGGGAACTCAAAAAAAATGGTCTTAGAAGGGCTACCCACTACAATGCTAGCGACAGGAGTCAAAATTCTCAAGCATTATCAACTATACCCATCATGAAATCAAAATTCTACCTAATCTGACAAAAACACAAATTGAAGCCTAAGAAATCCTAACCTCCAACGAAAAAAAATCTGCAATAAAAGTTAATGGAGAAAAGGAAGCAAGATTACCTTGTCTTTGCCCATGGTAAATACAACCTTCATCAAGAATTAAAATTAAAAAAACTTATTTAATTGAAAAAGGTCCAGTAGCGTAAAGAGGAAAAAGAAAAGATAATTTATTTGTTTTGGAAAAAGTAGTGAGAAATGGTAAGGTTGCATTTGCATACGCTACACCCTCGCGTCCACATCCTCATACGCTACACCCTCCTCACTCAAACCCCCCAAACAATTTAAAAAATTAACCCCCAATGGTGAAGTGGTGACCGACCGCTTGTTTCAATTCAATTAAATGATTCAGTTTCAAAACAATTTTTATACAGAAACTCCAAAAAGGTACCCATCATTGCACACCCATCAAGTTACATACATTGTTGAGAACATCAACATCAGTTAAAAGAGAAGAATAAGTTACAAACTAAGAGAAGAATAACCTTTAACAAGAGTCAAGAGAGAGGGCGAGATAGGAGGACTGTGAGGGGGAGTGGAACGATCTCCGTTGTGAGGGGGAGAGAAAGAGAGGAACGACTATGCTGAAGGGGAGAGGTAGAGAGAAACGGCGAAGCTGTGATTTACGAATGGGATGACTAAAAACCTAACCGGCTAACCCTAAAGTATATCAACGTAAATTTACTAAAGTCAACCTTATCCGGGTTGACACGTGAACCCGCGGGTCAACACGTGACCCGGCACGAAAAAAATGTGTCACTTTTTTGAGACCATGACACGGCCCGCCTGGACCCGCGGGTTGACCCGACACGCGATTTAGCGGGTCGTGTCACGGGTCAACCCGCGGGTCAATACCTGTATTGCCACCCCTACCCGTCAAGATGAAACAACACATGCATATTAAAAGCCATTACATGTAAAGTTCAATCAACATAACAAATATCCAAAAGCATGTACACAACATGCATAAACCATACCCCATGGGACATGGTGGAACCACAACATGGCTAAACCGAGGACACGAAAGCTTACCTTGCAAGCTAACTCCAAAAGCCAAGAGTCCACAGCTCAAAGTCCAAACACAGCAGATTCACAATCTGTAACAATACATCAACAACATGCACCACAAACATACAATATTAAGACAACGTCTTTTCATTACATTTTCAAGTCTTAAAGCTTCTAACAAAGCCACAAGCCCTTAATCCCATGATTCTGGCTTAGTCCATTAAAAACAGAAGTTTAACTTCATCAATCTAGGGTCTACAAACCCCCAATAGCCTACTGTATGCACAGCACAGCTACTGTTCTGCGAAATCCCAGAATATCCGAATATTCCTCGGGACCATATCCGGATATGCAATATCCGGATATCTCACTGGACATATCCGGATATGCAATATCCGGATATCCAGAATCCCATATCCGGATATCTAGTATCCAGATATCCTAAAACCCCATATCCGAATACATATATCCGGATATCATATCTGGATATCCCATATCCGGATATTCCACGGGCCGATATCCGGATATTTCACGACAGAATGCAGTTTCTGCATTTTCGTGAAGATATCCTTCCAAGGTTGGGTTTTTACCGATTTTAAACACCTAAACATGCATTTCTAGGTGTGTTCAACATTACCCCACAACAAGTTATCATCTTTTGACCTTAACATGCATCAAGCTTTCATTTTTAAGCATTAAACTCAAGATCAAAGGTTGGTATACATACCAAAGGCTTAAAACAGAGAAGGAGATGCTCTTGGAGCTCAACACAGCCCCTCAAGTCTGACTCAAGAAAGATGCACGAAAATGACTTCACAAGGGTTGGTTCTTCTCACCAAAGGTCACCACTTGGACCTCCAAAATGCCATAACTATGGCTTTCAGCAACCACACCACCCAAAACCAGCACTCTCACCCACACACAGAGGATGGAAACTCAGAATACACCCTCACACTTCCTCACCATGCATGTTCTTAAGTGTATACAAGCTCAAAGAGGGAAGAAATCAAGTAAAGGTGACAACTTGAGTTCAAAAATGGTGAAAGGAGGCAATGGAACAGTAAACCACCCTCAGCCCACCAAGTGCCTCACGTAGGAATTCTGGTATGCCTAGGGTTATGTGCTAAAATGCATATATATAGCCACTTAGCCATAAAATACACAATATTAACTTTAATTGCTACGCTTAGCAATTTAATCCCAAACTTTGGATTATGAAACTACATAATTTCTAAGATTTATTATATTTTTCTTATAATTTTCTGAGCACTTTTCCGGTACACGCTTTTCCAAGCCAGTACCGGTTTCCAGCACCAGTTCTCATTATCTGGACTTGAAACTCGTTTTACAAGTCCTACATATTATTCTAGTAATTATCATTCACTTACATTAATTTTCTGGATACTCTTTCAGCACGCATTTATACCGACTAGCAGAACCGGTATCTGCATTTTTCTTCCGAAAAGCGACTTTCAGCATTCTTAATCACTTATTACGATTATTAAGCCTCGTAAATAATTATTAGGCTCAATTATGGAATCATTTCCTATTTTCTCGTAATTTATTAATAAATACCTTATTTTCTCGTAATACCTTAACATACCTGGTCGAAACTCGGGGTACTGCCGGAGAAGCTCGTCCTCTCGCTCCCAAGTACACTCCTCAGGAGTCCTTCCGGTCCACTGCACCTTGACCATCGGAATGATCTTGCTCCTCAGCTGCTTCTCGCCACGATCGAGAATCTTTAGTGGTCCTACGGGAGTCTTTAAGTTCTCCCGAACTTCCACATCATCCGGTTGCATCACGTGCGAAGGATCTGCTATGTACCTCCGAAGCTGAGACACGTGAAACACGTCGTGGATGTTGCCCAGGTTCGGAGGCAAGGCAAGCCGGTAGGCAACAGGTCCTACTCTACCAAGAATCTGGTATGGCCCAATAAACCGCGGGCTCAGCTTCCTCACTCCGAGTGCCCGTCCAACACCGGTGACAAGTGAAAGTCTCACAAACACGTGCTCACCCTCACTGAACTCCAGTGGACGATGCTTGACATCGTAGCAACTCTTCTAACGATTCTGCGCCTGCTTCAGCTTTTCCCTGATCATCTGGATCTGCAGGGTGGTATCTTGGACAAAATCCAAGCCAAACAACTCACGATCCCAAACCTCCGACCAGCAGGTAGGTGTACGACACCTCCTACCGTAGAGCGCCTCGTAGGGTGCCATGCCCAGGCTAGCATGGAAACTGTTGTTATACGAAAACTCCACCAATGGAAGGTACCTATCCCATGCCGAGCCCTGCTCTAACGTGCAAGCCCGCAACATGTCCTCCAATGTCTGGATAGTCCGCTCAGTTTGTCCATCAGTCTGAGGGTGATAGGCGGTACTCAATCTCAACTGCGTACCAAAAGCTCCCTGCAGCGCCTCCCAGAACCGAGATGTGAACTTCGGGTCCCTATCACTGATGATACTCACGGGCACCCCGTGAAACCTCACAATCTCGCGAACATACAATCTGGCCAACTGCTCTGTAGTGAAGCTCACCTTCACTGGAAGAAAATGGGCAGACTTCGTCAGTCTGTCCACAATGACCCATATAGAGTCACAGCCAACCTGAGTTTTCGGCAAACCCACAACGAAGTCCATGGAAATGCTCTCTTATTTCCACTCCGGAATCTCAAGAGGTTGAAGTTTACCAGACGGCTTCTGGTGTTCAATCTTCACCTTCTGGCAAACCAAACACTTGGACACAAAGATGGAAACATCTTTCTTCATGCCCGGCCACCAGAAGTTCTTCTTCAAGTCTTGATACATCTTAGTAGCACCAAGGTGGATAGAAAACTGACCCTTATGGCCTTCTGCCATAATCTCTTCTGTCAACGGACCTCGAGGAACCACAATCCTCCGCTGGAACAAAAGCAATCCATCATCATTCCAAGACACACCGTCTTGGTTCTTCACATAATCCAGACACTCTCTCTGAACTTGTGCCTCTTTAATCTTTTCTAACAGCTCGTTGACGACATCTGATGCTTCCAACCCGAGAAGTACGCTCGCACATGGAGCGGTCACTGCTAAGTGGTGGAACTTCTCAACCACGTCGAAGTTACCGAGTAGCAAACTAGATGAACTACTGGATTTCCGACTCAAAGCCTCGGCTACCACATTGGCCTTGCCAGGATGATACCTAAGCTCAAAGTCGTAGTCCTTTATGAACTTCATCCATCTCCTCTGCCTCATGTTCAACTCCTTCTGGTCGAACAGGTACTTCAAACTCTTGTGGTCACTGAACACCACAAACCTCAAACCAAAAAGATAATCCCTCCAAATCTTGAAAGCAAACACAATCGCAGCCAACTCCAAATCATGAGTCGGGTAGTTCTCCTCATGAGGCTTCAACTGCCTCGAAGCAAAAGCAACAGCTCTACCAGACTGCATCAACACACAGCCCAGCCCCTTTCCAGAAGCATCACAGTAAAGCTCAAACTGCTCCTCAGGATCAGGAAGGATCAACACTGGTGAAGAAGTCAATCTCTCCTTCAACTCCTGGAAGCACGCCTCACACTCGTGAGTCCACACAAATGGCGTCTCCTTTCGGGTAAGGCGAGTCAAAGGGAGAACCATCGTGGAAAAACCCTTGATGAACCTCCGATAGTAACCTGCCAAACCTAAGAAGCTCCTCACCTCCGTAGCTGTCTTGGGTCTCTCCCAATCCAACACGGCCTCAATCTTGTTGGGATCCACTGCAACTCCATATGCTGAAATCACATGCCCCAGAAACTTGACTGATTTGAGCCAAAACTCACACTTGGAAGGTTTAGAATAAAGCTCTTTCTCCTTCAACACTTGCAGAACTATCCTCAGATGCTCCACATGCTCCTCCTCAGTCTTGGAGTAGATCAGAATATCATCAATGAAGACAATCACAAACTGATCCAGATACGGCTGGAAAATCCTGTTCATGTAATCCATGAACACTGCCGGCGCATTTGTGAGTCCAAACGGAATCATCAAATACTCAAAATGACCGTATCTCGAACGAAACGCGGTCTTCGGGACATCCTCCGGCTTCACCCGAATCTGATAGTATCCGGACCGGAGATCAATCTTGGAATACACACAAGCACCCCTGAGCTGATCCAACAGATCATCAATCCGAGGAAGGGGATACTTGTTCTTGATTGTCACCTTGTTCAACTGCCTGTAGTCGGTGCACAATCGCATTGTCCCGTCCTTCTTCTTCACGAAGATGACCGGTGCTCCCCAAGGAGATACACTCGGTCTAATGAAATCTTTCGCCGAAAGATCCTCAATATGCTTCTTCAGTTCAGCCAACTCCGGTGGCGACATCCGATAAGGAGCTAAAGAAATCGGCCCCACACCGGGCAACAAGTCAATGGAGAACTCTATCTCCCGCTGTGGCAGAAACTCAGGAATCTCCTCAGGAAACACCTCAAGGAACTCCCCCACCACAGGAATGCCAGTGATATCCTCATGTGTCCCACTCACCAAACCACCCAACATGACATAACCCAATGCCCCTGCTCGCAGCGCTCTCCTGGCCTGCAGCAGTGAAATGTATGGCGAGGAACTAGCTGTGGAATCACACGGAGACATCACCACGCGCTTTGCACAGCAATCAATCAATGCACAGTTTCTAGACAACCAATCCATGCCCAGAATAATCTCAAGGTTGGCCATCGGCAACCCTATCAGATCTACCGAGAACTCACGGCCATCCCACTGAAACACTACATCGCGATGTACAGTGGTAGAATCACAAATCTCTCCGGTGGCGGTAGTCACCCGCAACGGTGGAGAAAGCATAGCACTGGGCAACTCAAGCCCCAAAGCAATCGGGGTAGCAACAAACGAATGAGTAGCCCCGGAATCAAAGATAGCATCCACAAAAGAATCACCAATAGACACAGTACCTCTGACAAGGTTCGGAGCGCGGTCCGACTGCTGCCTATCTAGCGTATACACTCTCCCAACAGAAGGTGGCACTGCAGGTGCCGAAGAAGATGCCATCGGAACCATCTGCAAAGGAACTTCCTGAACAGCTGCAGCTCTCGCCGTCGACGACAGACAATCTCTAGAGAAGTGTCCCTCTTTGCCACACTTGAAACACAGCAACTGCCCCGTAGCACAGCGTCCCACATCCCGAACATCTCGTAGTGGTAGGAGGCCTAGCAGAACTCCCCTGATGTGAAACAGCTCTCTTGAACTGACCAGGCGCCTGCCTAGTCGCTAACTGCTTTCCCTTGCCCTTATCAGCAAACCTCCTGTCCTTCCAAGAAGTAGGAGCAGGAGTGGAACCACCTGTTCCCTTGCTCTCCTCAACCTTGGCCCTCTTGGCCTTGCTTGCCACGCAAACATCCTCGATGTCCTTACACTGCTGAACCAGTGTACCAAAGTCCCTCGAAGCAGCACCAGCAAGATGCTCAGCAATCACCTCACTAAGTCCCCTGCGGAACTTAGCTGCCAGAAATAACAGAGTCGGAGGAACCATGTGGAAGTGTGCAAACTTCACTAGCTCATTAAACTTAGCCAGGTACTCATCAACAGACATCGAGCCCTGTACCAAACGATCAAGCTCTCCCTGCTTCCTCTCCTGCGCATCATGGGGAAAGTATCGGCCCAGAAAGCACTCCTCAAAGAATGGCCACGTCATGACACGACCCTGCCTCTCAAAAGCACGAGAGGTGTGCGTCCACCACTCATGGGCATCGCCCTCCAGCATGTAAGTCGAGAACATCAGCTTCTGTGGGTCTGTACACTGCATAACCCGAAAGATCTTGTCCAGCGACTCTAGCTATCTCGCAGTAGCAATAGGATCCAAAGACCCCTCAAACACAGGCGGCTTATGCTTCCTGAAAGCATTCAGCCGGCGATCAATCACATCACGATCCTCAGCAATCCCCACAAGGGGCTCCCCCGTCTCAGCGGCATGAGTAGCACTGCCGATGTGACTATGGCTCTCCTCCTGAACACTAGGTGGAGGCGGTGGCGGTGGTGGTGGAGCCTGGCCTACAGCAGGACCAACCCTCAACTCCTCCAACATGACTCTCATCATCGTCATGTTCGCCATCCTGTTCGCCTCGAGGACTTCCTCAGTGTTCCTCTGGTTCGCTTCACGAACCTCAGCTGCGGCTATCCGGTTTGCCTCGCGAACAGCTTCCATCATTGCCGCGTTGGCCACTCTAGCGGCCTCCTGATCGGCTAACCTAGCCGCCTGCATCTCAGCCAATGCAGTCAGGATAGGATCGGATTGATCCTCAGAAGTCTCTCGTGTTCTCCCGGACCTTACCATGACTCTGAACAAGTTACACAAATTTTGAGTTGATCAGGCCCACGCAATGTGATCACATATACAACATCATAATAAAATTCGACGGAGTAAACACAAAGACAGACACAACAAAGCAACCTAGCAATTGCAATACATACAGGCTTTTCCCTCGAACCATTGCTCTGATACCATAAATGTAACACCCCGTATATATCCGGTAATGTTATCATAATATTGTATTAAGCTGCGCTTAATTAAAATGCGGAATTACTTTTTCTTTTCAATTATGATGTCATTAACATTACCAACTTGCTTAATAATCAATTAATAAAACATCGCCTGTATGTAATTGCAATAAGACAGCTAACTGAAATACCTCATAACATAGATAATATAAATGTGGCTCTAGTCACAGAACTACAACAATGTAGACTGGACCATCTAACAGTTTATACAACTCCAAACTACAAGTACTAACAGAAGGTGTCATGGACAATCCCCATGCTCACTCAAATAAGGCAACATGCCCAACATCAGTCTCAACAAC